GTGGGTGGTGGTGCATAGTTTTGGGATGATTCAAGCACATTACATTTATTGTACACTTTATTTCTATTATTATTACATTATAATATAGAATAAAATGATTATACAACTCACCATAATGCAGACTCTAATGCCACTGCTGATCTGACAGGAAGTGGAGCTCAGACGGTGATGCAAGTGATGGGGAGCAGCTGTAAATACAGATGAAGCTTTGCTGGCTTGCCTACCGCTCACCTCCTGCTGTACAGTCTGGTTCCTAACAGGCCACACACAGGGGTCAGGGACTGCAGGTTTATAGTGTTTCATTATATGAGTATGCCACAATTCGTCTAACTAAATATTATTTCTATGATTTCCAGTTTATAGCTGTTAAAAATAATGCTACTATATGTAAGAGTGGTGAACTTACAAGTAGCTCACAGTGGGTGGAGAAAAAATTCTCACAGAAAGATTAGGATAGAAAGAAGGAAAAGTTTGTTTTACTTTTTCCAGATGGAAAAAGGGCCATCACGGAAGTGAAAGAGGAAGAGTGTGTTAGGCGTAGAAGACCAGTTACTCAGGCTTTTTATTTAGAGGTTGTAACTGGGGCGAAGATGATTTATGGCTGTATTCCAATTAGCTGGATACTGCTGCATCCACTTCTTCTCTTTTTTCTTAGTGTGGGGCTGGTAGCAGAAGCAGCTGTGGGATGCTAAAGATCTTGTCAACGATCTTACCCTTTAGATATGGTTTGGGGCAGGAACTGAGGCCTGAAGCTCACACCCCTGCTGGAGCTCAGGAACTCTTCAAGGCTGTAAAGCAAATGGGTCCAGTGAATATAAAAAAGAGAAGGATTTACATTTGCTTTCTGTCTGCTCAGCTCTTTTCAGATGTTGTAAAAACAGAACTCTGCAGGGTGTCTGTTAGCAAGACAGGTCATATGATTGATCTTAGCCCTTCCTGAGAAACTAGATAACTTTTCTGTTATTTCGCTAGCAAGGCTGTCCTTTCACTACACATATCTTGTATATGTATCCTGTTGCAATTAAACACAAATTTCTGTAGGACGCTGAGTCTCAAAGTGCCCTCCTCCCACGAGGAGCACTGGTATCTCCTGGGAACTTATTAGACATGCAAATTCTTGGGCTGTACCCTAGATCTACAAAACTGGAAACTGGAGGGGTGGGCCAGCAATTTGTGTTTTAACAGCCCCTCAGAGTGATTACTGTGCATGCTAAAGCTTGAGAACCACTGCAGTATTGGATATACCTAGGAGAGGAACTGTTGGGGCATAAGGAATGGGTTGATAATTGCAAACTGTTTTCTAAGTGATTGTACCAATT